TTAAATTGGACTTGTGATCAATAGCCTCTAAGTTGGCTCTTGACGGGTTTACCTCGTCTAATGACTCTACGAGCTTCAGGCTCTGGAGTTGTTTTCAGATATTTGGCCTTTAAATCGGCTTTTGACAGATATTATCATGTCTTGATTCAACGAGCTTCAGGCTCGGAGATATATTCAGATATTTGGCCTTTAAATCAGCTTTTGACGGATATTATCAAGTCTTGACTCAACGAGCTTCAGTCTCGGAGATATATTCAGATATTTGGCCTATAAATCGGCTCTTGACGGATATTATCACGTCTTGACTCAACGAGCTTCAGGCTCGGAGTTATATTTGTAATTTAGCCTCTAAATCGGCTTTCTTGTCTCAACGAGTTTCAGACTCGGAGTTATATGAACAGTTTAGCCTCTAAATCGACTTTCTTGCTTCAACGAGACTCGGAGTTATATTAAATATTTAGCCTCTAAATCGGCTTTCTTGCTTCAACGAGTTTAGACTCGGAGCTATGTTAAATATTTAGCCTCTAAATCGGCTTTCTTGCTTCAACGAGTTTAGACTCGGAGCTATATTAAATATTTAGCCTCTATATCGGCTTTCTTGCTTCAACGAGTTTAGACTCGGAGCAATTTTAAATATTTAGCCTCTAAATCGGCTTTCTTGCTTCAACGAGTTTAGACTCGGAGCAATTTTAAATATTTAGCCTCTAAATCGGCTTTCTTGTCTCAACGAGTTTAGACTAGCTAGGAGCGATATTAAAGATTAAGCCTCTAAATCGGCTTTCTCATCTCAACGAGCTTAGACTCGGAGCTAAATTTCATTTACTTGACGGGAATTCCAATGTCTTGACTCAACGAGTTTTTCGACTCGGAGTTATATAGTATGACCTCTATACGGTCTCTGTTAAGTTCTACGGGTACTATGCCCGGAGTTGATAGCCTCTAAATCGGCCTTAAACGGAGATTATTATTTCTCCAACTCCACGAGCATCAGGCTCGGAGTTAATCTCATAGTCTCTAAATCGACTTTCAACTGAGATTATTATATCTTTTACTCGACGAGCATCATACTCGGAGTTAATATCTTGGCCTCTAAGTCGGCCCACATATCTGTTAAATATAGCACGTGCATATAGCAGTGCTTGGGATCCACAAGCTTGCAAATATAAATTTCAGCAGCAATTCAACAAATAAATAAGCAATACATTAATATACACGAATCCATCATATCCTTTGAGAAATGATAGCGTATAAAATACCGAAGTATTCACTAATCATTCTCGTTTGTCTTTACGACAATAGATCGAGGATCTGGATTTTCGTAAAATAAAATAAAAAGAAGAATACGAAAATAGCAAATCCCTATCGAGCAAAAACTCGTGCTGATAACGTGTTATAGAATAAACTATTTAAATAGCTCAATAGATATATGCATATATATAAGAAATCTAGAGAGATGAAATATGTGATTTATCACATAAGTTGCTGGAAAATTGATCTGAATTCTCATTGCATATTGGGGTATTTATACAAGGATTAGTACATGCATAGTCATCCACTATTACAAATAAGAATGACACGTATAAGAGCTATATGAATTGTCATGCTTAGTCTATTAGATAGCTATTGAATTTCCTTAGCTCATAAGATAGGACAATGCTTGAGTCCACATATTATAATACAGATTACCTTTTTTTGAATTGTAGAATTATACAGACTAATTATTAAGTTTTTATATTAAAGAAAAGGCGGCGGAGATATGCAAACCCATTTTTTTATTAGTTCAAATCCACATAAAGGAGTTTATTAGTTCAAACCCGTAAATTAATTTAATTTTATTACATCAAGACCAAACAGGACGAATATACCCTTACCAATAAATAATACCCAAGTTCAAACAAACTCTATTTTTAATTTGTTCAAGACCAAAAAATAAAAAATAAAAAAGTAAAAAAGAAAAACAAAAAAAAAAAGAAAAAACTCACAACTGCCGCCACCAGACCGCCGAGACACTGACCAACGAGACTTTCACCCCGCCGGCGACAACCAGCGACCCACCCACCGCACCATCACCACCACCCCACCACCACCAACAAGTCATTTTTACTAAACTTTTGTTTGTCAATTCGAAAACATTAATCGAGCATCGATTCTTGATAAATATGCGTGGATAAACATTAATCTATGCTTATTTCTTGTTAGGTTGCAATGCTTTAGCCGATTTTGGAAAAAAAAAATTGAGATTGAAATTGATTTTTTTGTATGTTTTCGTTGGTTTCCCAAATCGGTTTATCCAGACCGATTTTGTACATAAAAATCGGTGTCACAATGCCGATTTTTGTTAACCAAATCGGCAACACAACGCCGACTTTACAACGCCGATTTTTTTTTATGATTTATGTTTTTTATTTAGTTTTGAATTTTATTAAGGATAAATTAGTATTTTTATGTTGGAGGTCTTGAACTAATAAAAAAATGGGTTTACATATATCCGCCGCCTAAAGAAAATGTATACTGATTTTTAATAAGTGTCCATGTTAAAACATCAAATCATAAATAATGTTTAAAGAGAAAAATTTCTTTTGAAAACATGGAGCCAAATAAATGGTAAAAGGGGTAAAGGGCAGTTTTGGGAGTCGATAAAATTTCTTCGCATTTGGCCAGTGAAATAAGGCTTCAAGGACTAAATTGAAGTTCAATAGAACCTCAGGGACGATTTTGAAGTTTGGAGCAAACCTCAGGGACGATTTTGAATTTTACCCCTTTTGTTTGTTTAGGACAAAAAGCCCCTTCCTCCCACACCGTCCGGAACACTAGAAACACACACACACACACACACACACACACACAACACGACTCTGGTTTGAGAATAGAAGGTTCCACTTCTACTCCCCCCATTCATGGCGGATGAACTCAGTAACAACGATAAAATCACCCTCGACACAGCTAAATCCGACCGATCTATTTGGCTTATGAAGTGCCCTCCCGTTGTTTCCAAGGCGTGGAAGTCCGCCGCCGCCGAGTCGCCGCCCGTGGCTAAAGTTGTCGTCTCACTTGATCCCCTCCGTCCTGAAGAACCATCCTCTCTCCAGGTAATCATCGTTCTCTTTCTCTCTCTAAGTGTTAATTTTTTATTTATTATTTAATATGTTGTAGAATTTTGAAAATTGAATTAATTGGTGAACTTTTTAGTTTACGATGGAGATGGCTGGAAGTGAAATTGTGCAGATGCCGAAGAGTTTCTCTCTCAACATGTTTAAAGATTTCGTTCCCATGACTGTTTTCTCCGAGACCAATCACGGTTAATTTTCTCGATTTTGCTGTTTCTCATGTCCGAATTTTAGTGCCTTAATGAACTATTATTACATTTGGTTTAAATTTTGATTCCCCATTGATAATAGAAAACCTAAGAACTAGTGGCTGAGTCCAGGAATTTGTTACTGGCCGAAATTTATTTAGAATTTTTTTGTGACAAAATCAGAAATTAGGGAAAGAAAAAAAAATTAGAGTGTTTTTTGCATTAAGTTGAATTTAGGCTGGCTAATTGATAATAAATGGCGTTTTTTTTTGCATTAATTTGAATTTTGGGTAGGCTAATTAATAAAATTGAATGGGCTAAATATATTTATAGGTATAATAATAGGGGATAAATTATCAATTGAGGGTGGACTTGCCCCTGCTAAGAAGTTCTGTCTTTTGGTGCTGTAATAAGGAGCTTTCATTGAAGTATGTATGCCGATGCAATCAAGAAAACTATGAAAAATTTCAATATTTTTTTTCAGGATTTTTTTATCGCAATAAGGATGATATTGATATGGATGATTTATCTTCGTTTTCATTATTTGTCTTCAATGCTACTAAGATTTAAACCTAAATGAACTACAGCTTGAGATCAAATTGACACCCTAAAATAGTGATCTTACCTTATTACAGTTCTTTGATGTGCATTTTTACGTGACAACTGCGTCACGTTGTACTGGCTGTGTTAGATTAACTTGTTGGGAAAAATACATAGACGATCTCTGCTTAACTTTTGCTATCCGTTTATAAAAGAATTAAATCGGTAGTGAACAGACGTTCTTGTTTTTTTTTAACAGGAAGTGTTGCGCTCGAAGGGAAAGTGGAACACAAATTCGATATGAAGCCCCATCACCAGAACATTGAAGAGTACAGAAGAATGTGTCGGGAAAGGACAAATAAATCCATGGTCAAAAACAGACAAATTCAGGTCGTGTAATAACTCATGCTTTCCCTTTTTTATGAACCGTGGTTCTTGTCTGAAGCAAATCTTATGCTAAATTATCTTCCATCTCGGATTTTATTTTGATGTTTATCAGGTGCTCGATAATGATCGCGGCGTGCACATGAGGCCCATGCCTGGAATGATGGGCATGATTTCATCCACTTCCAAGGTAATAATTTCTCCGATTTTGTTTCTCTTCTTAAGTGCTATAAATTTGTGGCAATCAAAATCGGAATTTTAAGTAAAATCGAAAGGGGACTGTGAAATCGTAATTGTGATGTTGGATCGTACAATCATAGGATTCTACATATCTTCTAGATTTAAATAGCATGCCAAATTAAAACCATACTCGTAACATTCGATCGTAAAATCGTAGGATTTTACATATCTTTCAAATTTAGAAACCGTGCGAAATATTACATGCCTCGTCATGCCTTCCAACGTAAATATTACTAGTCGTCGTTGTTAGATGTTTATGCTACTTCAAATTTCATAATTAATTGTGTTACTTGAATGGAAGAAAATCTTAATTGAACTGCTGAAAATGGCGGACTTACTAACCAAATTCTAGCCGAATTTTATCCCAATTGTGATCCAATTACAAAATTGTTAAAATCCAAATATATTTCAAAAAAAGAAAAAAAATATCACTTGTAATATCACTACATGAGAACTTATTAAATGCAACGAGAGCTTTTTTTTTTTTTTTTTAAGTTTTCTAGATGGTAGCAATCAAGATCGCGACATCGTTTTCTTGCATTAGTACCATGATATAGTTTCACAAACTTCTTACATGTATATCATATCCTACAGGACAAGAAGAAAGCAGCAGCTCCTCCGATCAAGGGACCCGATGTGAAAAGAACTAGAAGGGACCGAGGGGAGCTCGAAGATATAATGTTTAAACTTTTCGAAAAGCAAACTAATTGGTCACTCAAGCAGCTCGTTCAAGAAACCGATCAACCCGCTGTATGTTATTACATATCATTCTATTACACAAATCATAACCGACTTTTTTTCGGAAAAATATATCTATAACATCTTGTATCTCCTTATGCAGCAATTTTTGAAAGAGATATTGAACGAGCTGTGCGTGTACAATAAACGAGGAGCAAACCAAGGAACATACGAGCTCAAACCAGAGTACAAGAAATCGGCCGAGGAAACAGCTGCCGAGTAATCGTATCTTTGCCCTAACTAATATTAGGTTACAGCTAGAGTAATAAACGAGGCCCCTTGTTTTAATGTTGCACACCGTTTCTTTACGATGTTTATCAAACTCGATAAAAGGAACATAGTAGTGCATAGTTGATCATATGTGTTTTTTGGATCAGATTCCAGAAAACCATTTATTTAGATATAATACTAATTAGAGATAGATTTATTGGCTAATTATGCGTGTGGTCTTGCTATGTTAATTAACATTGTTTGAATTAGGGTTAATTAAAGATATATGGAAGTATACAGTCTAGTGTGTAGTTGGTAAGAAAATTAGTGGCTGACTCAGCATTTGAAAATATTTATTGTGCAATTTCTTGAGATAACCATTGAAGCGACAAAAACCACCCTCTTTATTCTAACAGTCATGATATCATATTGTACACGTGTACAGACACTGGCGATGCCAGAATTTTTTGTGAGGGTGCATATCGTGGATAGCGTCCCCGGGAAAAAAAAAATTTGCTATGAAAATTTCTTTTCCTTCACGAGAAGATAATACCAAAACGAATCGCAAAAGCAAAATTGCTATGAAAATCCAAGAAAACCAGGAATATCAGGTCGATTATCAAAATTACAAATTGACTTCTAATTTATCTTCATTCTGAAAATTAAAATTAAGATGAGAGAGAAGACGCCAAGTTAAACCTTAATCGATGGTAGGTGCGTGTTCGATCGCTGGTGGGTGGCAATTTATGGCAAGCAACAATTGTAGACCGCTGACGACTATGCGAGAGGACAGCGTTTCTTTTTTTTCTTTTTTCTTTTCCAGGAAACGTGAACCAGGTTTCGGGTTTCGCCCCTATGTACAGATCGATTGTGTGTAAATTTGACAGTGTATTTCACCAAGTGTAGAATTTAGAAGACCTTAGACCTATATTCTATAGAAACCTCTTTGAGAAGCCAAGGTAGATTTTTAATGTCAGAAAAAGACAATCTAGAACACATCCTAGGTAGATTTTTTCATTTGAAATACAATCATTAAGAGCATATTTGTTTATAATCAAACTACTATATAAATATGGGTTATGGCATGATAGATGTCATTATTACATAAATCTGTTATTAATTAAGGTCACGTCTCTTTAAAATAATGATTCCAAGTTTGAAAAAAACAGTGCCAAAATTCAAAAAAATTGAGCCCTTGTTGCATGCGAATGGCCACAAACGAATGCGTAACCCACTGAGTTAAGAATTGTCGGATCGGATGCACGCGCGGGTCGGGTTATATTATGGATCACCAATAAACGACCAACTAGGAATCTTCTTGTCTCCCTTGACAAGATCTTTATAGCATCTTTTTTGGACAATTGAGATTCGCTTTACTTTGTTCTGTGTTATTATAAAGGTTGTGAATTTTATTGAGTACAAACTTTTTATACATGTATATTAATAATTCCGGGATATTTATACATTCATGTACGTATACGTGTGATTACGTGCATATGAAATTACTTGTTGCATTCGGTGTATTTCCTAGGAGTTCTGGGAATCGGACAAATCAGATCGAAATTAACATTTTAGAACAAATAAAAGTAATCAATTTTGTCGGAAGAGAAAATCTAATCCAAATTCCGTTCTAAAGGAAATTGAAAAAAAATAAGAAATTGAAATTTCGAAAATTAGAATGAAAAACTCATTCTAAAGTTGATTTTTTTTGTTTATCCGAATTAGAAAATCCGATTTTTAGTCACCTATGCATAATAATATGATAATATAATTTTTTTTTGGGGAAAAGATGGAGTTTTCCGAAATAAAATAATCGGACTGGAAATTATAACTTCATATAGTACAAATCCGAAAAAAATTGGAATTGAAATTTTTGGAATTCAAATATTATTTCCAAATCGAAAAGAATCGGATTGAAATCAGCAAAAATCAAAATTCCCGTTCCAATTTCCACCTGATTTAGATTAGAGGGAGATATAGAAACTTGTCCAGTAGGATATTATAGTGGAATTGACTGGAACTAATTTATTAAGTGGTAATAATGGTGGGTCCCAGCGTGGCAGATATATATACATACATGCATGCATGGGACCCACTTTTTTCTTCTATAATGGTGCATTATATTCCGAAAGTATTATCATACTTTCTCACTCCCGTGAACACGGATGTCAAAAATAGGGTAAACAAATAAAAAAGAAGAGAGAGAAACTACTTCTTCATCTTCTTCTTCATCATCTCTCTTTATACATATATATATATATATATATATATATATATATATATATATATATACACATTCCCTTGGTTTTTATTACATTTGATAATTAGGTTTATTGTTTTATGAGACTTGCAAAACTAAATAACAATGCAAGAATGATCATTACGAGAAAACGAAGTTCTTTCGTGCGGAGATAGAGACAACGACGTCGATATATATCACATATATATATATATAATATATAGTTTTTATCGTTTTCGAAAAAAACGAGATGGAGGTGAGAGAGAGATCATATATTTAGTGGGGTTGTTAAAGGTTATTTGTTTGTGTGTGTATGAATATGACTGCACCATGGTATATATACACTTTAAACATGAAGAGATATATGTTAATCAAGTTGAATTGATTTTTACAAGGGGGGGAAAAAGTGAAAAGGAAATAATCACTTTTGTGCCAAAAAAGTGCCAAACAAAAGCTAATAATAAAAGAATGGTGCATGGTTTGCTTCTATCTTGTTGGTAGGTTTATGTTGGAGAAAAAAAAAGTGACTAGATTGCATCAATTAAGTCAAGAAGAAAGTCCCAAAAAGAGAGATCAAGTAATATATTACCATTGAAAAGATTATTATATTATTATTATTATTATTATTATTAATTTTTTTTTTTTTTTTAATGTTGGTTGATATGGATTGAGGTAAGGAAATGTCATTGTTATTTGTTAATTAATAGCATCATGCCTAAGTTGTAATAGTTTGTGGCCTATATGTTGATTTTTTATTTTTTTCTAGTTGTCGCATTTTTCATGACGAGTGTTGGGTGCTAAATACCAACACGCAAGTGTACGTATCGCAAACAAGTAGTAAAGTAGACTCGTGAGAGTCGGATGTCGATCCCACAGGGAATACGCAAATTATTTAATCCTAAGTACCAAATCCTAACAATTGTGATTTTTATCCAGCCTACGCAAGGTTGTCAAATTAATTAACTAATAAAATTAAAATAATTAAGAAAACAAGTAATCACGAGAAAAAGTCAATAATAAACGGATCTAGGATTTTATCTTCCCCCTATGCAAGAATTGCTCACCCAAAACCCCTCAATTATGAAATATATGATTCATGATTATTAACCCGAGACACTAATTTACTCATAACCCGCTGTCGCGTGTATTATGAGTCTATTATTCATAAACGATTCACTATATGTCTATGCAAACCAATTATAAATAAAGCATTAACTAACAAGTCTCGTAAGTGGCTACCTAAGGTAATATCTGTATGTCTACGACACCACATGCAATTGACACACTCATCCGGTGAAAACTACTCGAAGGCTCTTATACTTACCGTCTAATTATCAAAATAGCTCTGTCAAGTCAATCCCAATAATCACAGATAAAGCACATAAATTGATCAAGTTCATGCACTAACAATCATATCAAGTAGAAGAAATAATCATAAAATCATAATTGCATAATCTCAAGAAAAAGGGTTCACAATCCCTACATAGGGTTCCAACAAAATCCTAGATTAAAAACTTAGCTACGCATGTTCGTTACGAAAAACATAATAAAAATACGAAAAATCATAAAACTATAAATAACAATAAAAGAGGAGAACTATGATGAAGATTCGTCAAGTCTTCGTCTTCGTTCTTGTGCTCCTTGATTGCGTGTAGAAAGATTAAAAATAAAAACCCTAAAGATTAAAGATGAAAGGTCAAGATATCTCTAATTGAGTGCTTGTGGCCTTTAAATAGGGTGCAAAACTATAATAGGGCGGGTTTCCTTGTGTAATTAGGATTCCTTCACTGCGCCAATTCGACCATCCGGACGGCCGTGTGAGATTAAACTCTAAAATCCGCACGGCCGCGCGGGCTTTAATTCTGCAGGAAATCTGATTTTTTCACTTTTGGCCCACTTTTTCTCTGAATTTGCAGTTTTCACCCCAAAAGTTGTCAATTCTCCAATTTGCACCTAAAATACAAATAATAGCCATTTTAAGCACCAATTATCATAAAAACACACCAAAAGCTCCAATTAAAAGGTATAATTAAGTGTATAAATATACACTTAACAACGAGTGACAATAATTGCAAGTGAAAAATGTGTTTGTAAATTGTAATATTGTGGGTGTATGGTAAAAAAAAAAAAGAAAAAAGTTTGTAAATAATACTTGTAAACCTAATTACATTTGTACGATAAACACTAATAAATAAGGGGAATACGATGCTACACCTGGTGATTTTCACCGGGTGGCTCTTTTCTTGACATGTGTCCTTTTTTATTTATTTTATAATTATATTTCTAAAACCCATTGGGCCATAACTGAACCCGTAGTGGAAATCTTATTAATTAGGGTGTCTGGTTATATTCACCAGGTGTAGCATAGAATTTCCCCTGCAAACACTAGGAAATGCAGCACTGTTTTTATTAATCAAACACCAACAATATCAAAGAATTTACAAAACACGAAAGAAAGATTGATCATACATTCTTTTTTTCTATTTTAAAGGAGGAAATTTACTGGTTCCCCAATTCCCCTCCTGATGTCTCGAACCGATTACCAAATGGTTCTAGGTGCAAGGTGATCCTACATTATATTCATCTCTAGTGTATCTCTCTTTTGTTATGATCTAGCCTTTTTCTATTTTATCTTTATATTAGTTCTCATTTGTTTTTTTCTCTCTCTCTCAAATCTCGATCTCTCTTTGAAATTTGCTCTCCAATCTCGCTCCGCCTTTTTTTTTTTTTGGCTCTATAGCGTTCCCACGATCTCGCTCCGACGTCCCGCTCTCTCGACTCCACGTCTCACAATCTCGCTCGCCTCTCGCGATATGCCCTTTCACGTCTTATTAGAGGCATCTTGTATAGGAAAAAATGCTTCTTTGACAAGGAAACTCAGACAAGGAAGTTTTCTTCCATGACTCGTAAATGAATTAGAATATACCAATTGATTCCAACTTAATTATTACCGATTTGGAAGACACATCAACAACATATAATCCATGTACACTACATTGGTCATGGATATATTATAGAGTATTATGGGATCATTTGGATAATTGGCTATGATTTGTGTAGCAATTTGTTAAGGGACTCGTGTAGC